CGTCATCTCACTTGTTGTTTGCGCTCACCAGTTCGTAGTTAGCGAACCAGTCTTCTACGTCGGTCTCATCGGCTCCGCTAAAGTCCTTGGGCTCTCGCAAACGAAGAACGCCGGGGTTGCTGGGGGATGGAGTGGAAGAGCCAGGTTGGGCGTTGTTGGTAGCCATGATGGGAGGTAGCATTCGGTTGCGCAGCTCCAGGTTTAGGCGACGGCGAATGGCAGCACCTAGGTCCAGGCGACGGGGAATGTCAGCACCTCCAGCACTTGAAAATGGGTTTATTGGCGACTGTTTCGACGGTGGTCCTACGATGAAACACGATCGGGAAAGAGCAACGGTCAAGCATATGCCGGCGATGATCAGCATGAGCCGAGCGAGAGAAGCCCAGCACCCAGTACCCAAGTGGTGGCGATGTTGCTTGCCAACGATGCGTTTTCTTCTTCACAATATATGTGACGCTATGATGAATGGGAGACGTGGCCTGGCTCATACGCCGTGTTTATTCTATTGTGACTTCTTCCTCCTCTGCCTCTACTACTAACTCCTAACCATCGCTACCTTCTTACGTTACAGGATTCCCCCTCCCCCCGAAAGAAGTCGCGTCAGACGAACATAAATGAAAACTGAACATGCACGGCTTAGAACTGAACACTGTCAAAAAGAGAAGATCATTCCAAGTCCGAGGAAGTTTCCGTTAACATACTATAGCTTCACAGGAGAGGACAGCAATCCGGCCATACCCTGTATTCCGCAAGGACGCAGTAATCACCGCACTAGCCTCGGTCAACAAGCACGCAAACGGGTGGCGGCGCATGGGTTCCAATCAAGACAAATAGCACGACACCTGCGCAAATCATCCAGCCAACGCTTCAAGGCCATCACACCACGTTCATTCACGCAAGAATACCGGCTGTGTTTCCATCTGATTTCACGCTCAAAGCATGCTTATCTTGTCCAGAGTGCAACAGCCAGCCTCGCCCTCCAGAGCTGTACTGGAGCAAGCTGTACTGGAGCAAGTATGGAACACAGCCGGTATTCTTGCGATGAATGAACGTGGTGTGATGGCCTTGAAGCGTTGGCTGGATGATTTGCGCAGGTGTCGTGCTATTTGTCTTGATTGGAACCCATGCGCCGCCACCCGTTTGCGTGCTTGTTGACCGAGGCTAGTGCGGTGATTACTGCGTCCTTGCGGAATACAGGGTATGGTTTGGAGCCTTTCTCGACGTTGTATGCCGTGTTGCCTGAGCCTTGATCTCGACTGGAGAAAGTTTACTCGATGTCCCTTGGGAAAATATCCTGGATTCGATGCTTTCTTTGTTTCGAGAAATCTTGAATGTGTCGTTGGCTTGGTTGACACGTTTGTAAACGGCTTTCCATAAACCCCGTGTGTTCTTCCGAAGATGATTCCATTCGTCGTCGGCCTTGTTCGTATAGCCCTTGTAATCTCTGTTGTTCTTGGACTTGCTGGCATTGATGATGTTGCTGCGAAAAGACCTGAGGTGGCAGCCCTTTTTCACCATGACACTGACTTTCTGGGCAATTGAATGTGGTGTCGAGTGAACAGGTAGTAGTCTCTAGGCTGTTGTGCTGCATTTCGGGTAATGAAGGTAATGCTTCAGAGTTGATAGATACATCATCAGGGGCTGCTTCTTCGCTGTTCGCTGTGAGTGGTTCTTGCGCCTGAATCTGGATGGTAGGTTCAAGGCTTGGCTGAGTATTCTCCGAGCTCCGCAGCTCTATCCCGATCATTGTGATCGTGCTAGATGTGAGGTGGGCGTTGTGAGCGACAAAAGAGCCAAGTGACGGAAAACCAGGAGGTAGCCCAATTGTGCTAGATGGAAAATAAGCTGATCCAATGTGTGGAGACTGATTTTCACTCTTTGAGTCGTCATGGCGTTGTTTGGCATTTTTCTCATGTGTAAGCTGGTCTACCATGAACAAGGCGTCCTTATGACACGAATAGTGACCGTTAGGAGCCTTTGAAGAGCTGCGTCGTAGAAAACCAGGTGGTCGACCATGTATGCGAGACGAAGCATGAAAGGCATCAGTAGGGTGAGCGACGTCTCGTGTCGTATGTTGAAGCGATGACTTCGGAAATGCTGACTTTCGCGCAGAAAGGATGCGCGCTTGATGGTTAGGTTTTTCCCAATATACGCATGGCCTTCTGTAAGTAAACTCATGTGCCACTTCGTCTTGAGGCAGTTGTCGACTCGCGTTGGGCTTTCGAATGCTTGAGGACTGCTTAGGGAATTGACGATAGTGTGCGGTTTTCTCCAGATGATCGGCAATAATTAGGTCTTGTTCATAGTCGTTAAAACGAGTGAACATCTCTGCTTTGATCTTTTGCCATGACTCGTCATTTTCAAAGACGTGGGTGAGGTAAAACTTAAATGCCTCACCGGAGATGTAGTCAGTGAAGTTTATGATCATCTCCCGTTCCGACCAAGATGCAGCGGCAGCGCGGAGCTCGAAAAGGTTGAACCAGTCCTGTACGGGTCCGTCGTCCACTGATCCGGTGTACTTGGAGATATCAAGGTCGTCTGATGGTGCTGTCATGATGTTGGTCTCGGTGTAGAGTTGGGATGTACTTTTGTGGTCCACGTTCGGTCACTGCGTCTTGCTGAGACGTTCGAAGATGGTGGCCGGTTGATGAAGTGGCTGCCAGGTCTTCATCCTGTCGACTTGTGTGACGCTATGATGAATGGGAGACGTGGCCTGGCTCATATGCTGATGCTGATGCTGATGCTGATGACCTTTGATGGATGGCGCGTACCCACAAAGGGGGATGGGCCATATGCCATGTTTATTCTATTGTGACTTCTTCCTCCTCTGCCTCTACTACTAACTCCTAACCATCACTACCTTCTTACGTTACATATATATATATATATATATATATAGTGAGCGCGAGTGTGTAGGTGTGTGTGCGAGTGAGTGAGTGAGTGAATTAGTGAGTGAGTGACTGAGAATGTATGAGTGAAAACTGCGTTGAAGGATATGAAGCATATCACCTGTTTCCGGTTGGCAAAGTACTGGGAGCGCGTGTGTCAGTGTGTAAACTTGTAAGTGCGAGTGAGCGAGTTAGCTATTGATTGAGTGAGTGAAAGTGTGTCAGTGTGTGAGCGAGTGAGTGAGTGAGAACTGCGTCGAAGGATGTGGAGCATATCACCTGTTTCCGGTTGGCAAAGTACTGGGAGCGCCTGTCAGTGTGTAAACGTGTAAGTGCGAGTGAGCGAGTTAGCTATTGATTGAGTGAGTGAAAGGTTGTCTGTGTGTGCGGGTGAGTGTGTGTGCGAGTGAGTGAGTGAGTGAGTGAGTGAGCAAGCGAGTGTACTCGTAGGATTGCAAAACCTAGAATGTAGCCGCTGCTTATCATTGCTTCATCGTTTCTGTTATACAGGAAATAACGTACCCAAATCTGATCGTCTGTACACTCGCATGAACCAAAACATCACAGCCTACATTACTAGCGGGACATCATTAGTGTCCTTAACGTTCTCATGCGTGTGTCCTACCTGCTTTCGCGGTCACCTATTATTTAAACTCAAACATACCGCCTTCATAACTCAAATTGTCATCAGGTGACTCAGCGATTGGTTTGTTTGACTGTGCGGGAGGCCGTGACCTCGCCATACTCGTATGCGCATGACTCGTACAGGATGTTACACTTACAAATCGTCTACCTCAGCTCTTACATCTATAGGCGTGCGCAGGGTTCCACAATAAGTGGGGAGGGCGGCCCTAACATGGCGCTCCCCCCCCTCTCCTCTTTGATTGGTCGCATTCAAGTGAGAACAAGCCTTCTGATCTTCGCAGTTGATACAAATCTGAAGATGAAAGAAAGATGAGCTTCCCACAACGACCTGTCTTTCGTCTTCGGCTTTCCGGGTGGGAAAATGGCTTAGAAGAATAGGCTACTGGGTGAGCCACTGGTTGGGGATAAAGAAAAATAGCGCGAACAAAAAAAAAACGTAGGACAAGACACAGAAAGCTTCAATGTTGTTGTATGCTTGTAGATCCTTTTTTTTTAGTGGTAGACATTAACGGTAACACTTTCGAAAGCTAGAGTTAACTGTGTGGCAAATTCTCATGGATTAAACAAGGCTGACATAAGGTACCTGAATTGGAATATCTGAGATTTTTAGGCCCATTCGGGGGGGGGGGGGGGGGGGGAACGTGTGTTTTTTTTTTGCTTTCTATAGATCTTTTTTTCCAATGAAAGTTCATTTATTAGATGCGCTCGTCTTCTAGGTTTCTTCATCTGGTCCCACGTCTTTTCCCGCTATTTCCATTCTGGATGAAAGAACGGAAAGTACACGATTGTTGCAATGCGACAACAGCCTTCCACAGTTGCCATTTACACGAAAAGCGTGAACCGCCATAACCTCGCACATTGAACAGTCACTGAACAAACGCAACTACGTGAAGGTATGATAGAGTGAGAGGCTATGCACACAATTGTGTAAACCGCTTGTTTTGTTTGCTATTTGTGCAAACTAGGAGCTATGAAAGAGCAAGATGTATCGAGCTTTGTATGATTTCAACCTCCTACATATTGGCATTGTCAACATCCAACTTCATTTTGCATGTACTGTTGCGTACTTTGGTGAAGGACTACCACGTCCCACAAGTCGTTTGACGTACCACTTCTCAGCGAGCCACGCAAAAAGTATAATTTTTCTTTGCTTAATAAAGGCATAACTAAATATTATTTCGCGCTTTATTTCTAGCCCGAGTTTTCTTTTTGTTTATGCCAAAAGAGAGCATGAATGACTTCAGAATAAGCTAATATTTAATTTCAAATTTCTTTAAATTGGTTCCTACAGCACACACAAATCAACATATTATGACAGCGTTTCTCGCAATTGACTATGGAGTGCCTTGAAATAACCTTTTGTCGATTCGACGCATCTGCAAACAGTGCCTCGTAGGTGGCGTCAGAAAGGGCGAAAGGGTTCGGCCACTCCCGATTTACGCTGACATCGAGCAAGAGTATACTCACTCGTTGAACTGCTGGATGATGTTGTAGCGCAAGATGGCTTCTGTGTTTGGCCGCGCCATCGCTAGAATGTCGTCCGTGATCCTGAGAAGGATAACGTAAACAACATAGTCAGTCACGGGCTCGTTCTTTTATCATCACAATCTCTATATTGGTACCGCAAATCCACAATGGTTCATGCTTAAACATTACAGAGCTTTAGCGCCGGGTACCCCAAGCCGCCTGCTTGCGCACGCTTTATCGGTCCTTTGTGCTCACCAGCGCACCTGGAGAAAATATTAGAACTCGAGGGCTCATGTGCGCCAAGCCGCTTCTGAAAGATATCACTTATATTTTCATGTCCATCAAAATATAATCGTGCTTATGCCGCGATTAACTAACAGACTCATATTTTGTTGAAATAATTCGGCAAATGCTTTGATAAGTTCGTCTACTTGAGCCGATTCGGTGTGACGTAGTGCAAGTTAACAACCACCGAAAACCAGCAACACGTATGCACAGGTTAATGGCTATGCTGATCTAGTTTTGTGTTTATGAAGTTGTTTTTATTTTTCCCGTAGAAAACAGCGAGAAAGGGCCACAGACCAGAAGCTACAAAAATGTAGCTTAAGTGCGCCCATGGGGCCCTACAGAATGCATTCATACGACCTACATGGCACAAAAACCAAAACGCAGTTGCCAAGCGAAATTGATAACCTTGTACATTCACATGCAAAGATACGATTTCTTTTTTAAAATTAGAACTATGTGCAAGTTGCCACAAAAATGAAATACTCAACTGGTATAACATACGCACACAAACAAAAACAAAAAGCCTACACACTGAACCGCAAAATATCGTTTGCTTTCTTTAGGTGTTAGTGTGACTATGAGACTATCGTTTGGTTCTTATACGTGTTTAAAAATCTTTCGCAGCAGAAATTGGGGTGTTTGATTGCCCTGGTTCTTTCGCGTGCAGCACTTATCAACACTTGTAGTAGAACTTTGTGCTTTTAAACTCCTCAAGTGGCTCTCAAATACAGTCAAACTCATGCTTCAATCTGAGCCGGAATGAGGAGGAGGAAAAGGATGGGGAAAAGGAGGAGGAGGTGGAAGAGGAGGAGGAGGAGGAGGAGGAGGAGGAAGAAGAAGAAGAAGAAGAATAAACATGCCTCCCATGAGGGGACGTCAAGGGCTTGCCTCGACGCCGCCTCACGGGCATGCTGGGTCGCCCAGGTTTTGGCCGTCAAGAGCGGGGCTCCGCAGAGCCTCATGGAGAGCTTCGACGAAAGGGTCGTGGTGTTAGTGTGTATTGTGCTGGGCACTCCCACAGCATATGCGGAAGCGTAGCCGGCTGAGTGCCGCAGCAGCGGTAGTGGGAGGTTGTGTACACATCCGGGAATATGAGGTGAAGGCGGGCAGGTGAGGAATACGTGTTTGTTTGAAGTAGACGCAAAGTGGTGGCCTGTGCCCGGTTGAGCCTGGGGTGAGGTGGGGGAAAGGCTCGGCGTCTGAGGTAAAAGTTCTTGACGAGATCATTGTACGTATGGTCAGGTTATTTCTGATGTTCATCTCGTCTCCAGTAGCTCCAGCACGGTTGACAAGGCCTCGCGCAAGAAAGTGGGTGACCTCGTTGAGGTTGGGGAGGCGTGGGTGGACTGGGCCCGGTTTGGCGGGGATCCATGTCAGGATGATCATGTTGTCTTTGGAGTGTGGTCCTGGCAGAGGATACACAGCGCTTGCGGAGAAATGAGGTTTAGGAAATTTTCGGCGAGCCCGACAGAACCCTGAGCAAAATTCATTTATTTGGTGAGTCTGAATGCGTTCCATTACCCTGCCGACCTATGGTCCTGTGTGGACGTGTTCTTCGAGGTCGTCCCTCGCGCTACCGAAGTTGCAGTCAATCAAACCTCAAGGTAATTTCAGCTGATCTCCACCATGAGAAGCTGCCTTTTTCCCGGTACTGACTTCTTCCAACAATCAGTCATGCTTAGTGATACCGACCGCATCTAACTTTGAAACGCCCAGCGAACATTCTCAGTGACCATTTGCAAACAAACGTTACATAAAGCACACGTTCTACAAATCGAATTGATCGACAAAGCATTCGTGTTCAACTTGAAACCATTGAATGTATTTGGACATTTAGTCAGATGATGTCAAAGTTACAAAAGATAATAAAGTGATCCCTGAACAAGTCGTTTTCGTAATAATTATCGCTTTTCGAACAACCACAGAGCACTTTCGCGCAACTTTTTTTTAACTATTTGAAATGGCAATGTGCACCACCAGCGAGAGATTATAAACTTCGTTTGTATGCTCGATGTCTCCAGATATTTATTAACGCGATGGCGTTAAAGAGCTCATTTTGCAGAAATTCCAGCGTCGGTGTCGGCGTCGTGAGTGAAAAATCATTATCTTATGCGTGACCAAAAATTGAGAACGTCACGAATAAAATGAATGATAAAAGAGTTCGGGATAAGAGTGTGGACCGAACCAGGGTCGTTTGGCTCCGAGTGGGAATACAACTCGGGGCGTTTGCGTGGCAAGTGGATGTTCTGCCACGCGGCCATGCTTCTGCGTGTGAACACAGTCGAAAAAACTTCCTCTGCTTTGAAATGCAGTGAAAGTAGCTTTCATGCTTTACAAACACACGCGTCCTGTATACGTGCTTCGCATTGCAACATAAAATACTGCAGTAATAATGCGTGGCACAAGCGCAAATCACAAGCGGGTGTCAGGACATGTGATTATCATAATGGCTTCGTGGTTCAGAGCTGGTCAACCATTACAAAATGCACACACGCTACGTAATAGATGTATAGCAAGTTCGAAAAGGTTTTATGCACTATGTCTCTGATGTATATGTAATAAAAAGAAGATATCATTATGTTGTTCAACTCCTAGAGGCGAAGCTACGAGGTCCCTTATTTATTTATTTATTTATTTATTTATTTATTTATTTATTTGTTTGTTTGTTTGTTTGTTTGTTTGTTTTTTGTTTGTTTGTTTTCAAATACTGCAGTGACGATAGAAGAGACGTAGAAGTAGGTACTTGACTTAGTTATTAAAACATCATACAATATATTTTATGTATATCATATAGGTTGACAATTCTTCCAAAACATGTTGAATTGGTTTTTCTCGTATAGCACGTGGGTAGTGAAAATTTGCATGTTTAATATAGCCCAGTCGTGTCAATGGCATGTTTATTGCTTGTTTATTGTTACGCTCATTAACAAAGTATTAACCCCTCTTTCTTTTGCTCGGACTTTGTTGTTACACTTCGCTATAACGAGCCATAAAATTGTTGACTCAGCGTCCTTCGTCTAAACGTGTGTTTTGGTGTCGGTACGTCTGCTGACTAGTGATGCTGTGACATCATCGCCGATAATATGTAAATTAATCACTTCTGTAATACGTTACATTAACAGAACCGTCACTCTCCTCGTAGTGTTGACAATCTCGCAAACCGCCGTTCGCTTCCTCCTTGCGTACAGCGAAGTGTTACATCGACAAAGCTAACGTGAATGCACATTGAGACCTCTTCATTGATGGTATAATTGACATACAAGTCACCGTCCTACTCATTCGATATGTACACTGGTCGTGATAAGGAATCGATTGCGAACGTTGAGTAAGTGTTTTCGCTGAATACTCGCCGCATGCATTATTCATGCGTTATTCAAGCGGTTCGCTCCGAGAAGAGTGCACGATTGGAATCTCGGAACAGGTCACTCGGGCTTTTGTTGTGATTACTTTCTCGAGCTATGAAACTGTACGATATAATCTCGTATGCCGTGGCTCCTTGGTTTCATAAATTTTCACACTACGATGAGATAATGTAGTGGAAGCGTGACTTGCTTTTGCGTGGTTGGAAAATTTTAAATGCTTACATATTCATTTATTTCATTTTGATAACTTTCCAATTAGTTTAGTTATTTTCTTTCTGCTGCGAAATGTACACAAACGCGATTTTTGCTAGGACCGGTAGTAACTGGCATAATACTGTCTCTAACGTATTAGGTGCATTTGCAAACGAAAGTTTGAGGGTTATAAACTAGAAAAAAAATAGAAAAAAAAAACAGCCTCGCGTTCCTGGTACGAAGTCTAAAATAGCAGCAGAACAGCATGGCTTGCAATTGTTTCTCTTTGTCTCCTTTCTTTTTTCCTGTTTCTGTCACTTTTCTCTATTTCTTTTATTTGGGTTTGTACATTTCTATTCAATTATTTATTTATCTATCTATCTATCTATCTATCTATCTATCTATCTATCTATCTATCTATCTATCTATCTATCCTATCTATATTTCACCAATTTGTTTGTGTCTCTCTATCTCTCATTTCCCACCACCTTTTTTCTTCTCTCTTCCTCTTCGTGTCTATTTCTTTCTCTCTTTTTGTCCTTTCTTTCTATTTCTCTCGCTCTATCGCTCTTTCTTTTTTTGTTCTCGGTCTTCCTTCATTATTATTACATAAAGATACTGCTAATCTCATGCGAGATCAAGGCAGGAAAACTAGGTTACAGCAACAAGGACAATAAGAAAATGAAATCGATAACAATTTTTCACAAAGTACCATAAAATGACACCTTACCGACCCTTTTGAACTCATGTCATAAATCAAACGTAGAAATACCGTTTAGTTCCGTACGATCACTGCTTGACCATTTCATCAATTTATCTCGTATGTAATCTTGTGATCTATGCAATGTAGGCACAGATTCTACGAAGGGTGGGTTTCAGCGACGCCCTGCGATCCATTAGACGGTTATTGAAACAGCTCCCGGTTTGCCCGGTGTAGCACTTACCACATGTCAAGGGGAGGAGACACTAGGGTTATTACGGGAGGTGTTTAAATACCTGACTTATGGATCGCAATAGACACCTGGGAGGTGTTGGAATAACTTATGAATCATGTAATAACGTATGGACTTATGGGTCATGGGCATCGCTGAAGGCCCACCCTCCATCTAATCTATGCCTACATTGCATAGATTTCATTTGCCACCCTTTCCTTGGCGAAACAAAGGTGTTGTCCTATCACAGAGATAGGACAGCGAGAAAACTTGATGAGGCTTTTTATATCCATAAGTATGGCAACACGTACGTCGCGAAGCCTTCGGTCACATTGCACCAACAGATTACGAAACTTGAACAAATCCACGAATTACTAAACTTGAACATTAACTATCATCTATTATTGTGGATTGCCTGTTTTCCTAATAATCTCTCACAATACGTTACCGCACGCGGCTACAATTCACAATGTGCCCTGTTGCCTCAGGAGTGCCCCAAGGAACGGTTCTCGGTCCTTCGTTGTTTTTATTATAGGTTAATAATCTACCCTAACAAGTAACTTTTAACATTCATCTTTTCGCTGATTATTGCGTCATTTTCACAGAAATTACTTCAGACAACTATTGTACTAGGCTACAATTCAATGTATATAAAATATCTAACTGGTGTAATACATGGCTCATGGAATTAAATACTAACAAGTGTAAAGTTATGCATGTATTTAGGTCACCTAAGTCTTCACACGTATACAACTTAAGTAACTCGCCTTTAAAACAACTAACCTCATACAAACACTTCGGAATTCATATCGCATCCATTTTTTCTTGGGAAACACACATTAACTACGTCATTAACAACACAAACCGCACCCTTGGCTACATCAGGCGAAACTTTTTTTCGTACTCCGAACTCCTTAAAATTGTTACTCTATGAAACTTTAACCCACCTGAAATTAGAATATGCTTCAGCTGTTTAGGACCCTCGTACCACTAACCTAATTACCACATCAGAACTTGTCCAGAATAACGCAGCTCGTTTTATTATTTCCAATTGTAATCAAACTGCCAGCGTAACAGCCATGAAAACTGACCTATCAGTTTCATCTCTTGCAGCCGGGCGTAAAATATTCCGTTTATCATTGTTTCATAAAAGATATCACCACCCAACATTGCATGGCATGCTTATTCATAATCCACACTATGTATCTCGTCGCATCGACAATTCTCATAAGGTTCATGTTCCTTCTAGGAGTACAAACACATTTTGTCAATCATTCATCCCTATGACGTCACTAGAGTGGCACCATCTTCCCCAAGTCACTGTATCTATTAGTGATAACTCCTTGTTTAGTATTGCTATAAACAACCATGCTAACTATAATGTAATTTATTCACTCTTATATGCTGCATGTTGGTTTTTCTTGCGTTGTTTTATTTTTCATGTTTTTATTTTTGTACTCATTGTATAACTTGCCTTCAATTTATGCTTTGTAATGGTTTTCTTATGTTTGTTGTTCTTTGTATTGCTTTCTTATTTATGCTTTACCTACGCTGTACAAACTTCTTCTTGTCACCATTCCCCTCCGTAGTGCCTTGTTTGGCCTTGAGGGTACAATAAATGAAATGAAATGAACTAGAGATAGATTACCTAGTGGCCATCTTCCAATATTTCACCTCATTTCTTGCTATTTGTATTTGCGTTTTTCCCCATAAACTTTGAGATGATATTCTGCACTTGTGCGTGTGTCTTCTGTGTTCTTGTCTTTTTTTTTTCGCGCAGTTTCTGTCGTTATATATTACCAACTGTCCCAGTGTTCAGTCCTCTTAAAGCGTCAGAATCACATCCGTTGCTGTAATCAGACAAATTTTCCTCACGCCATTCACAGCCGGTCACCGCTAGCAATATAGCAAAGGCAGTATCGCGTTGGCGTCAGTGTCGCATGACGTCACTCGCCGCGCTTACCAATGAGAGTAGAGCCCGGTAATGGCACAGTCCTGTGCCGGCCAATCGGCGCCCGCCTCGTACTTGCACTGGGCGCCGCCGCAGAACACCTGACACTGGAACTCCCCTGGTGCGCTGCGTCGAAGGCGTTCCGAGATCTTGGTGTACCTGCGCGCAAAAGAAGAATAGGGTTGGAAGTTCGTTTAAGTTCCACTCGTGATATTTTAAATGTGTTTGGGTGGAAGTAGAAGACCTGCAAACTGACTCAACACGACGCATCGTAGATTTGCAGTGATCGCTTGCAGACCTAAATATACGAGTGTAACCTCTGGCGACTTTATATCGGCTAAGCCACAAAATCCATCATTTAAATTAGTTTTCTGTCTTTTTTTTAATAAATGCGCATTACATATGTCTTAAAGGTCACTGGCTGTGCTGGTGCTGGGCTCTGCAAAGCAAATTTCAGCAACCTGATCTTCCTAGAACTGCACTCCGATGAGGTCTTGATTTGAAACATTTGTGCATCGACTTGTAGTGAGGCCCAGACGGTTAGACTGGAATTTTCATCCCCCGTGCAACTTGGTTCTTGTCTGTAGCTGTTCTGTTTTGTTTTAACTGTTTTGGTGTGGAGAGGTTGAGGTGCCTATTGCCTCGGCTACTCCATATCACAAAGTTCTGCAGCGAAAAATAAAATAATAATACAGAACGGTACCCAAAAATTAACAATACGGAAAAGAAAAAAAAAACAATAGCACACTGAAACCAGTTCAAATATCATGCCAATACACAGTTTTCTTCGCGCAGTTCACACAGTCATAAACTAATTACACGCACACCTTACTATTCTAATGTCAGTATATACATGACCACATTTTATATATACCCATCTCTGGCCGTCTGTCATAGGCGCTTGTCCAGTAGCATTCGCACTTGCCGTACATAAGAATGAAAACTTGAGCGTGTTGTTAGGTGTTCATGTTGCCATCCACGCTCGTTGTGTGTGGTCACGTGCCTTGCTCACTCTCGTCTCTTTTTGTCGCCTTCGCTCACCCCAAATCCCTGTTCTTTTTTCTGTGCCCTTTTTGGTGCATTTTTTCTTCACTACAAGTAATTGGGGCCTGGGGTCCAACCTTTCGGAAAACTTTGTAGTTGGCGTATTTTCCACTTTTTGCAATAACGTCTTTATTCCACAACTAAAGATATTTTCTTTAAGTGCAGGGTATATACTTCTCACTCAATATTAACTCTAAAAGTACATTAACCTCTTAGTTTTAGCTGTACGGCTGTATTTATCTAATTTCAAGCAAAGCTGGACATAACTCTAGTTGTTCATGAACCTCCACAGGATTGTATCTCAGCTGCCACGGCTGTTGCACGTTCGGTGGAGGTGAAAACGCTCTAGGCCCGTGTACTTGAATTTGGGTGCACGTTAAATAACTTCAAGGGGTCGAAATTTCGGGAGCCCTTCACTACAGCGTCTCTCATAACCCTACCGACGTTTTTGTAAGTAAAATTTCAACACATTATTATTATTATTAGTAGTAGTAGTAGTAGTAGTTGTTGATGTTGTTGTTGTTGTTGTAGTAAACGTTGTAGCGTTGCTGTTTCGAAGCCATTTAATGTAACAATACTGCAGTAAGAGTAGTTGATACCGCTAAATAATCGCCATCGTCCGTGAATACGCCAAAGCTTAGGTGCCGTGTTTTACCGAACTTAGCATTGCCGGTGAGTTCTGGAGGGAGCAGTGAAGTGCGTCATCAGCAAAAAGAGAGAGAGAGAGAGAGAGAGAGAGAGAGAGAGAGAAGCAATAGTATCTCCTCTATCCTCGTTTTTTGTCCGTTACAAACGATGATCTGCAAAATAAAGGAGGGAGACGAATCTAAGAGGGAGAGAGAGCAAGTCCACATTCTATATCAACAAGAAAAAAAAACACACTCGGTTCGCTGACTTCATCGCAAAGCGAACCATGGCACCCGAGACGAGGCGGTTTGTTTCCACGGCGAAAGTGCGGGCCGCTGCCAACCGTTACATGTCCGTTTCAGACAATGAAACAATAAACGAGTGCAAGCAACCCGACCTCGAAAATAGCCTCGCCACCCCCATTGCTGGGCTACGCAGCTCTTTTGAAAAAAAAAGAGTTCGCATTATAGTATAGTGGTTCGGTCAGTTCCGCGCAGTGAACCGCAATATAGCGCTAGAGGAATGAAACGCCGCCTCTCGTAGGTTTGACTTTTCTTTTTTTCGTGCGTGACGACAGAACAGAAACAGTGAAATTGTTCGACTTTAATGAAGTCGCTATGTCCCGTAGCGTCGATGTGCAGGCTAAGCAATAAATTAGTAGTAGACTAGAGTAGATTCTTTGATCTATGGGACAAACTCAAACTTGGCGATTGGCCAAGAACTGGAGAGATTTTATATTAAAATATTTAATAAAGGTTAAAATTGGTCTATTCAGAAGAAAGAGGAAAGATGAAACAGGGAGAATTTATTATTGAAATAACACATTGTACTGGAATACAAGCAATGAAGCGGCAAATTCCAATTTAAGAAAAAATAATTTAGGAAAGTAAAATACAGGAGCAAATATGGACTTCAACATTCAAATCGGTCTGAAGCCTTGACGAAGTCCTGCTGTGCATCACCAATCTTCCCGTCACCATGGTCAGGAAATAAAGCCCCGAAAGAAAGTATACAGTTTGCACGTTTAAATACAAACGAAGATGTAAAACGGCACCCATAAAGTATTTTTGCGCAAGGCACAGTATCTATAACAGTAAATGAGATAGTGCTTTATTGAATCACATTCTCCAAAAGAATAACAATGAGGGGAATCACACGCACTCATTTGCAGTAAGTTGGTAGCTTTCACTTTTTCCTCACCAAACTACGATTGACAGAACCTGTGTATTCAGCAATCAATCGTATCCTGCCGATTTCATCCTTGAAGAGGACAAGCCCGTTTTGTCGAAACGTGAATCACAGCTACGCCGCATGCTCGCAAGGTTTAAAGCAAACCTTTCAAGCACCCGTTCCAGCGTGGAGTGGTGTCACCGTTGGCGCTGTCGGCGTAACCTTTATAGCGAACGAGGACGAAAGAGAGTAAATATGGAGTCTGTCCATATCGCGAACCACTGTCTGCATTTGCTCTCTTTCGTCCTCGTTCACTATATCGGTTACACCGAGCCGTGCTCCCAAATAGGTCTGCAGAAGTTGTGTCTTTCCCTTTCCTCAACCTATATCTCTCTCCCTAACCTCGCTGTCTTTCGTCCTGCGCGCTGGTCCCTCGCTCCGAGCTCCTGCGCACGCAGAGCTGGCACGTGCACTGCGGCTGGCTTCACTTGTCGTAACAGGGCTGTCGACGTTTCGGTTCGTTCGCAACGCCTGCAGTGCACAGAGTGGTGTGCATAGCCAACGGCGTAGCGCTCTAGCGCTATAATGTTTCGGGGGCAATGTGCGGCGAATGTTACATTGCTACAAATGGGGATGGCTAGTAATTCAAACACAGTTGGCGTTACTCCAATGCGAAGCAGCGCTCAGAATTTTCATTAGCCAGTATCACAATCGTAAGTGAATTTTCATCTTCTGACACTTACAATCTTCTCCTGGGCTTTGTCGTTTTTTTTTTTTGGATTCCCGGGATTTGTACCGCACAATAGACTATATGATCACTAATACCAGCAGAAGCATAACTTAAACTCGCATTTATCAAGAAATTTTTATTTTGATAAAAACATTATGGGTTGTTTCCCCAAGGTAACCATGATGGGATGCGAAGCATTAGCGGTGCGCACGGCGTTGGCATGGTTGAAACGGGCGTCGACGCGGGTGCCGGAAAAACAGTTTGAAGCGAAACTCAGTGTGGCATTTACACGAGTAAACTTTACTTTGAAACGCAAAGACACAGGACGTGGGTAGGGTTTCGTATGAGTTTCATCGCAGATAAACGATCCGAGAGGGTGTTTCCACTCGACATGTGGCCGAGCGTTGCAGGCGGTGGAGAGAGTGAAGCGAGAGAGAAGTGTGTTGCGAGCGAAAGGAGAAGCAACATCACCTAGGTGTGCTTTGAGGAGCCGGCTGATGCCGCGGCTGAGATAGAGAGTGACGTCAACGCGCAGCTGCGTCTTCACCTACTTGGCATCGTTCCAACAACTGCGACGAGGGGAACGCGGTGCGGCGCATTGGCACGGAGACACGGACATACAGCGTTACACGGGCCAGTATAAGAGCTGCTTCTCATATAAAACGTCCGTTGGCTCACCGCTTTTGTTGCCGTACGCAGGGCACGTAATGTTACGTGAATATAGGTGGTGAATTTTCCAAGCAATGGTTTGTTTCAACGGCAGCGTGTTATTGATCTTTTGACATCCTCTTGAAACTATTTCGTGATAGAAAACGTTCTAAGCTAAAAGGCGCGCTGCATTTCGCTTTCTATGACAACGTGAACCTAAAAGGCGGGAGGTCCAACCCTTCATTGAGCGGCGTGCATTATTTATTACCGCTGTGTGACGTCCAATTTTTCTGTCCTACAATGCATAGCTACGTGTGAACAACGCGAGTTCCAGATGCCGCATATAACATAGCGCCCATTTATTACGGAGGCACGAACTCCGCCGTTCGACAGCCAGACGTTCTCCGAATCGCGTGTGATAGCTGTGCTGCGAAAGTCATGACGTCACCATGATTAGCGTTCCCAGTGCGCTTGGCTCTTTTCCTTTTGTTTCTTTTTCTTTTTCTCACCAACGATTTTCCGGAGTGACCTTGTGCCCATGTGGCGCCATTCGTAACGCTGCATGCCTCTTCGACGAGCTACGCAGTGCCCGTGGGCACAAGTAAAGCAAGAGGTCGAGGGAGAGAGAAAGAGAGGGAGAGAGAAAATACGTGGAGAAGGGGAGGGGGAAGTCCGATCTAGAAAAGTCTGCGCGTACAAAACGCCGCGCTGGCTTGCGCCCTGCCTCGGTTCCACGCCGGCTCTGCACTGTATATACGCATGCGAAGGGAACTGGAAAGTTGCGAAAACGGCGTTGTTTAATAAGCGGTGCGTCGCTGTGAATGTTTTAACTGCCCGGCCAGGCATGGCCGGTCCATGGCCGTAGCTGTCTCGACCGCGCCCCCTTATTCCACCCCACTTCGTAAATGCGCGTGGGTGTTTGGTAGAGAGCTTGATACGA